GCACGTCTGACCCGCTTGACATAGTTCGTTCACAGCGTGCTTCGCCTGCAGCTGTGGCCGGGCTGATCTCCGCAGGAGACAACGGGGCCAGCTGTGAAGCTGTATGCACATCTTGCTATTCAGGGCTCAGTGTGCCGTAGGCAGAATACAAACCACAACGGTGGAAGCTATTTAAGAACAAATTCAGCCGTGCACACATGAGTTTCAATTACAAAAATAAACTAACAAACACCCACACTTCTGGTGTTGAGAAGACGCTGACAAGCACCAGGTCACTCACTATAAATACTTCTGTCCTGGCTAAAGACAATCAGTGCTATACTCTGACTTAAATCCCAGCCAAAACAGGAGCTCAAATCAAATTTCCAGTCATATAGGTCATAGGCAACCTTTGGCTATTCACCTGGTTTATCATTTGCAAGTTGTAAACAGATCCTTACATATGCCTACAGCTTATTAATGCACAGATGGTAAATTAAACAAAGGAAACTTTAAGTAAGTCAAATCAGCGGTGAAATGTTTGAAAGCCCATAAGAGGAGTGCAGTTGTGCACATGGCTGGAAGAGCCCAAAGTGCTCTGTCACTGTTGGCCTCACCTCAGGTGGGAAACGTGAGGGTGGGGACCACAGTGAAGAGCAGTGAATCAGCATGCTGACAAGATCTTTTTGCCAGCTGAGGTCTGCAAAAAAAAAGAAAAAAAAAGGAAATAAAAGAAAGTTACCTGACACAACAGTCCAGGCTCCAGAGAGGAGAAGGCAAGCGACTATCATTTTAGCCCTGAGCACAGCAAGACAAGCGAGCAACTGGCCCATTGAGCAGCAGCTTCCCTTTTTTATATCCTTTGCTCTTACTCTAGGGACATTCCCTCTCACATCATATACAGTAAGAGGTACCTTGTAAACTCCTCCTGCTCCTCAGGCACCGAGGTGAATAATAAAAATTTTGGGGGGCGTAATAACAGATGTCAGAACCAGAAACTGAAGATTTTCCAGGTAGGCCACTAGGCAGATAGGAACAAAGCTTTGTAAGGCTGGATTTTTCAGAAATGCCTTTTTCATAAGGTTCGTTTTTTGCAAAACTAAAATCCCAGATTTCTAAATAGCCTGAACACCCGACACCAATCTGTCTGCAAGCCTCAGTCCCGCCAGGCTGACCTGGGCTGTACGTGCCTGGGTGATAGTCAAACCTCCAAAAAAGCAGCACGGGCGAGTGGACTGAGCACAGGGAGGAGGAAAGTCAGCCCCAGTGCTGACCTGAGCTAGTCCCCTCTTCTCTGGGGAGAGGGATGGGGGAAAGGAGCACTTGGGGCGTCCTAGCACTGCTTATATTAATATGGGTTTCCTGGCAATATGAGACCAAGCAAATGAAGTGCTGAACCCAGAGCCTAGGACATACACTGTTTCAGGGAAAAATCAGCACTGATGTCCCCTCTTCTCCCCTCAGCTGCCCTGGTCCCAGCAGGTCCATGCTCCTTCCCTAGCCCAGTCCCTGCCCGCCCTTCAGGACTTGCTTACAGCTTAACCTACCTTCCAAAAGCCCGTGCGACCATCCCTCGTGCACACCCGTTCCTATCTGTGGGCAAGCATCCTCACCTGAGACGATACAAAAATAGCTCATACAGCTACCGTGAGTCATCATTTTTGAGCCTTTCAGCTTTGTCATTTTTATGACTCTGTTTCTCTTTTTCTGCCAGCTGTTGATCACAGTGCTGAAAGCAATGCAATCTCAGCCCACGGGCTGCTCATGCACCGTCCACTGCGGCAAGCAGCCAATGAGACCTTATTTGCCATTCAAACTTTTACTGGTAAATTAAGTTTCAGGTTTCTGTTTGCTCATTAGGTGGCTTACATTTTTGTAAATTATTACAGCCCCAAATGACTGCGACTGCATTTTAAACTATTTTTTTTGTCTGAACTGCTGCACAAAGCAACCTTGAATAATGCAAATAAATTGAGGAAGCCAGCAGGCCCAAATCATAACAGGACACGAAATTTTCAGACATGCTCACACATACGCAATTCCTGCCCTCCCTTCACCTCCTGGCATGATAATTAATTATCTAAAGCTAAAGTATCAGTATTCTATTTATGCTACAGAAATATTTGAACGTTCATTTGAGTAGGTTCAGTAGTTCGTTTACATCACTCTGCAAACCCGGACTACTTCATGCTATCATCTTTTTCCTGTAAAGTGTCACATGTCGTTTTTCTTTCCTTGACTGATTTTCACAGTTCTATTCCCTTGCGAGATTGCTGGAAGGTCATTCTGGCCTGAACAAAGGCAGCGAGAGTGTGAAATCTGTGAAAAATGGTTTCCCAGATCATTTTACAGATATTAAACAGTATACCTAGCTCCAATAGATGATGAAACAAGACTCTGGACTATGGAGCCAGATCAAGTTGGAGGGAGAAACTGCCAGCCTGGAAACTAGGATCTTAGATTCGCAAACATTTTTGATTCTCAGCCTCTCCCAGTTCTCAGAACTGGAAAAGGCAGTGAAGGTTTGCTGAAGCTACACCCTCATGCACCAAAGCTTCCTAGCAGGGCGACAGGGACCTTTACAGGCAGGTAAGGATTCATTCCTGGCTTTGCTAGTGTACGCGTGTTAACACTGCTACGTTTATTACTATTACTAATGTTTTGTTTTTAAAGCAAAATATTAACAAAAAAATTTCCAGAAACTTTCAGATACTTTTGATGCAGTCATCATAGCTGAACTTCACCACTTAGTGATCATTAAAGGAATTGCACTTTGTTTAAAAAAACAACAAAACAAAACAAAACATAGGTCCGATGTATTTATTTATTTATAGGAAATGTCCCTGTCAGCTTTAACCATTTTACTTTCTGCAAAACACATCCTAATCTTCCAAAAGTCTTTCCAAACAACCTTAAAAACTTGAGTGCAGCTTACACAAATCCCTTTCAACAACAGCAAACATTTAGACTTAGCAACATCCCAGCAAAGGACAGGGACAGCTACTGCGGCTAGAAAGAGGTACTCTTTAAATTGTTTACAGCCTCCCCCACACGGTGATTAAGAGCCGCATACACTGGCTGCTCCTTCCAGGCGCTGGTCCCTTCCCCGGGCAGCTCCTGACGCCGCTGGGACCCCAGCCTCAGCCCCAGCACGTAGCTGCTTGTATCTGATGCTTGCAGAAGCTCTTTCTGATCCCCCTTCCCCCAGGGACCAGCCTCATTCAGCCTTGCCCCGCTGCAAAGCATAATTCACAACTGGATTTGTTGCATAAGTAGTCTTTCATTAGGACAGCACAAGGAGGCAACAAGCGAACCGCTAGGTAACATCCACCAGCACACATCCATCACACGATTTTAGAAAGTTGATTGATCACTTCAAACATATACTAGGCAGGAATATGAGGTCCGGTCATTAACAACGACACTTATTTCCACTTAGCCTGCATATCTTTAAGTGCATTTAGTCAAACATTTCCTGATCTATTCATCTTTGCATAGACTTCTGGTGGACTACAGACATCCTCCTTTTGTTAATTGCGTCCCCTGCTCTCTCTTACTTCAAGTGCACAGCAGCTTCACTTTTCACATCTGCAAAGAATGGCCTGAGCTTAAGGCATTTTCCAAAACACAATGAAAACTTGGAAATAATTAGGCAGAAGACAGTCCTGCAACCACTGTTTGAAAAATACTTTGATTGACATCAAAGAGAGAATCTTCCCCTTCTTTCTCTTCTCTTTCTAGTGCTCCAGGATGCTCTCCCCAGTTCCAAGTAATACATAAAAAGATGCAAAAGAATTAATTGCATACAGTCACTAAATGAGGACATTTCCACATGATCCAAGTGAGTAATGACATTGATAAATCACAGAAGTGAATTTCTGGAAAGTGTTATGGACAAGAACCAGTCAGAAACAACTGTAGATTTTGCTCACACAGTTAAAAACTCTTTTTTTTTTTTTTTAAAATCATCAATACCCAGGTTAACAACCAGGTAGTTACATACCTTCCCAGCACCTTTCTGAGGCATATCTCAAAGTGTTGCCCGTAAACAGAATGAACTGGATGGAGATGCTTTCATCCACCGCTGAGGTTAGTACACCAGTGCCAGTAGCACATACTACTACTGTTGGGAAGCTGCACATCGAATGCAATTAAACAGACCTGGCGCTTTAACACATGCCAACAAGTAAGGACGCACAGGCTGCAAAACACAGCAAATCCTTCTAAATCCCTGTTGGACCCGGAGAGCTACAGCATGCGGGGGTGAGGACGGCAGCTGATCCCACTGCCCTGGCCGTGGGCTACGGCAGGACCCGGCTCCAGTCACCAGGGCAGGCTTAGAGGCAAAGTTTCACATCTGTGCAGAGGTTTTAGAAGAGATGTTACAGCTGTTTGCCTGTAGCCACAGCTGCTTACGCCTGCTCATGTCTGACTCAAATGTTTGTTCCACGAACTCCTCCCAAACTGAACCTCCCCCCTTCCACGCTACTGCACTGTTGTCATCTACAGTAAAGGACTGCAAACTACAGCTTTCAGCACTGAAATGTGGTGTGGGACCGCCTGGCAAGCACAGCAGAGAAACGAGTGAGAGAGGTTGTTTAGCTCAGACGTAACTTGTGGTGGAGTACGTCTATCTACAAAACCATGCATTACCAGGGGAGAGCCTATGTTGTGTGATAATGGGGAGGGTGTACCATCTGGTTAACCACCTGTCACTACTCCCCTCCATGTTTTGGACAAAATTGCTGCAAACACCTGAGTCTTACAAAGACTTTTCAGCAACGTACTATAATAGCAAAGAGTTAATTAAAATGCATTTATTCCCTGAACCATCGATTCTGCAAAGTGTATTTCTATTTCTTCTGTTTTTATTCTTCCTTGTAGCTCAAGAAGAAGAAAAAGGAAAAAGAAGGAAGAGAAGAAAAGGAAAGGAAAAGAGGAAATGAAAATGAATTATTTTGGAAAGGATCAATAGCAAAAGTTAAGCTTTACTGGGGTTTTAAAGGTTTGTTTTTTAGCATTAGGCTTGCCACACCACTTCTCAGAAGAGCAAGACGGCCAGGGCCTGTAGTTTGCTCTTGCTGGGAGCACCCCAGGTTGCTATTTTCAGCTCAGGATCCTAGAGGGAGTCCTGGCGGCAAGGCATAGGGCTCTCGGTGGAGGCCGCGAGCGAGGTGCTGCTCACTTCGGCAGCGCAGGAAGCAGCACTGCTCATCCATTCCTCCCCTCTTCCTGTTCCACCCCCCCCCGCTCGTCAAGTGATTGTCTGCGGTGGAGATTTTTTTTGTTGATGCACAATATCTGGGTGCTGCATACATGTGCAGTGCAAGAGATAAAGAGCCAGTTTGGTCACCGACTTTCATTCTGTGACACATCCAGTATAGAAAGCAATTCAAACAGCAGGGAAACCACACCAAAACTAGCTACCCAAAGGTGCAGAGATCCAGTGGAAGGATGGGAAACTGCCTACCAAGAATAAGGTAGGTTCCATATCATTTTACGCTTAAAAATGCTACGAGAGAGATTTCACTAGAAATAGGAACGAATGATACCTGTAACTCAGTCAGCCTTAAGGCACTACATAAGGAACCCCGAGGAGTCTGTTGATTAGACAAAGGGAATTTGGTAAGCAAAGTAAGATGAACAATATAGTTCTTAGGAGGTCAGGGATTATTGCCTCAGGATGATTTTTATGGAGATGATTTCGTCCACAGATTTGTCAGCACTGAAAGCCTGTAAAGCAGGTAACGGCATTATAGGTGAAGAACACAAGGAGCAGAGAACAACTGGT